ATGAAGCAAATCAAGTGCTCGCCTTCGAAAGCCCCCGCTCCGGATGCCACTTTCAAATCCGAGCATGCATCGTCCTACCATGGTGTTCTTCCACCTTTCGTGCCTCGTTTGAGAATATTGGTATGGGGCTTGCTGGCACCAGCATCAAAGGTAACTTCGGACATTGGGGTGTGGTCTAAGTTTCAAGGTTGAGACTTCATGAGGCCATAAGAATTTCAGCCCAAGGGATATCACCAAGGGTTCGATGATGTAGAGGCGTATTGTGCTCATTCGCAGTACAGTAAAATTTTGGGAGTCTTTCAACCACTTTATAGTTGGCACAGGTCCATCTAAGGCCGCACTTTGAAGTTGTTTGCGGCGGCATCCTAGTTACTGCGGCAAGGGCATATTTGTAAGAAAACGTGATGAAGTCTTTAAATTGGAACCCAAATCCCAATCCTGTATGCTTACCTCCCAATCCTAAATCAGCATTCAAGCTCTCCAAGGCCAGTCCAGCTGACCCAAAACCAAGCAATGTTAAAGAACCTGCAGGCACACACAAAGTACTTGTGACATGGAGTGAATTTCCAGTCGAAGAGACTATCGAAGAATATGTTATATAGAAGCAACCCTGATCAAATATTGTATCCTCCTGCAGACTAATAAAGCTACATTGCCGCCAATGTCCTAAGCAAACAGTACATGATGTACCTTTCTTAGTTCTATTGCATTGCGAGCACGAGCCATAGCCGAAAAGTCATTGTATGCTTCTACGTCTTATATCTTAAACCAGCATCCGGTGTTCGATCCGGTACAGCGCTTTGCAGACTGCCAAGTTTGACTTCGATTGAAGCGGTCGATGGGGTTAGTTCGGGTTCTCTTCGGGGCACGGTATCTCGATGAGGTGCAAGTAACCTTCATTTTTTTAAGTTTATCAATAGTCTGAAAATCTTGCTCACGATCCGCTGGCTTGAGGTGGCTGTTCGGGGTGTCTAGGTGTAGGTGTTTTGGGATGGGTTTCGTCAGTGGTTTTGCGGCTTGATGGCTTCGGACTTCGTGGGACATGTTGTTGCTAGTTGGTTGTTTGGGGTGCTGCTGAGTTGGGTTATGTGTTCGCTGAGAGACATGAGCAACTTATGGTAGGTAATCAGGCCTGGTGTTCGGAGTTCGGGTGTTCTATTGAAATGTTGCCTGATGTAACTATTATTTCCGGTTCCTTTTTCGATATTTCCGCTTCTATTCAACCATGCTGGGTCTAGGCGGTCTAGGGTTCAGATCTCATTAATGCTTTCGGTTACAAGACCCCATAGATTGGATGAAAGTTTTCACCCTAACCAACACAGCATTCTTCACCGTATTTTGAACCCGTAAGAAAAGCTTATGTCAGGCCATGTAGCCCTAACTTGCGGTGACTCCTATTGAGGGTTCTGCTACCTGATGATTATATACCCACTGCACAAGAACGTACTACAGGGGCATAATATCTCTCTCTATATATACATATATACTTGATGTTTAGGGTATCTATATGCCGATATCCATATTGTTTTGACTATGTAAGCATAGATAACTTCTTATTAGATATGTCAACCCATCTATACATGCAACATTTCAACCGAAATCTAGGGCTATGTTGCGAAGTTGTCCTGCTGAGGGCTGTGTCGTGATCCGGGTCTAGCTAAAGTGCCAGGCCATCTAAAGACGTAGCTATCTACAGCTTACATATCACATGTACTCGCTTTACTCTTTTCCCCACCGTATACTCCAGGTGCTCAATTCGCTGGTTGCGGTGGAAGCTCCAGCGCCGTTTGCGGCCTGCGAGCAGTATGCGAGCAAACGAAAAGCTCGAGCAGAAGAGGGTGGTGAAGATGACATGGTTCCCAGGGCACAAGATGGGGAAGATGATGGTATGTCTGATGAGACTCTAAGCCTTCCGGGCAAGGCTCCCAAGAAAAGCAAGAACAACAAGAAGAAGAAGAAGGTGAAGTCCAAGAAAGTCAGATCTTCCAAGAAAATGAGATCCGATTCGCAATTGGTGGATGTGCTTGTCGAGCACCTGCCCACCGGGAAGGATTCCTCATCCGATGAGGGCTTCGACGACAAGAACCACAACACGAAGAGAACCATGCGGCTTCAGAGCAATCCCAAGGTGAAGACTGCCACATCCGATGAGGCCCCGGTTCAGAGCAAGCCAGTGAAGAGAGCCAGATCCAATGAGGCCCCGGTTGAGAGCAAGCCCATGAAGAGAGCCAGATCCGATGAGGTCCCCGTTCAGAGCCACAAGAAAGCCAGATCCAGTGAGGCCCCGATCCAGAATGAAACCCAGGCCCCGAAGATCAAGAAGAAGCCCAATGTCTTCGGCAAGTACAAAGCGGGTTTGTATGCTTGCAAGCGCTACGTGTTCATCAAGCGATTCCAAGAAATGTTCCCTAAGGCGAGCTTCCAGACAGGCAATCGCTATTGGCTTAAGTGTCCAGAACGCATGGAACTCCTAGCAGACATGCCGCTTACCGAGTTGAAGAGGCGACGTTTTGCACCCAAAGGGTGTTTGGTCCACCCATACCGATGAACTTTAAAGCACTGGGCATGGGGTTAGTTTTTTGGAAGCTGCCTCATGCACGAAGTTCCAGAGCGCAAGCTTCTTCGCAGCCTGTGGCGGGATTCCCTAAGCATCACCCCCAACTTTCAGCCATAACCCCCAAATCCTAAACACTAAGCCAACCCCAAACCCAGAACCCCAGAACCTTAAACTAGCCCCCAAAACCCAAACCCTCGAATTCATACATTGACCCACAAGCCCTAAACCACCCGAAGCCCCGCTGTCTCCATGATGTATGGTGCCTCTTCTAGGGCATAGCTCAAAGCTTAATATACCCTCTATTTGAAATCATGAACCTACAAGACCCGTTAATCCTTAGCCTGATAGAGGATGGTATGCTGGATACAGCCAGGCTGTGTAAATGCTTGCGAGTTCAGTTCGACTGAACATGTTGCACTTAATTCTCGGGGGCGCTAAATTCAATCTATGACTGCGGCCGTATATAGCCTAGCTTTCGCCTGCGCATCGCCGCCGCAGCACAAATTCGGACTTCAATTCGTTGCAATATAGGTCTGAGTATGTGGGTCCCAATAACTCTACATGTAGACTTCATTCTTCGATGGTGCCTTTCTGCTGAATAGCTCGATCTTGGACCGTCAGGCCTGCTACATTAAAAGTTCCAGACACGAGTTGCTCGCGGATTCACGAAATGTGCCATGCAACAGCTTGCACCGAGTGGCAGCATGCGCAGCGTGTCTATGCATGTCCAGTGTGAGCAACCTCCAAATGTGTTGCTGGTTCCGCAAGTGGTCTGGTATAGGTGTGCGCAAGTAATTCCTCTAGCTAGATTGCGAGGATGGTGGTGGCAGAGCTGCTCCAATGGCATGCCCCCCCGGTGCTTATCCTATGTGTCATCCTGCTCCAGCTAAACAAGAAAGTGAACCTCAAAGAGGACTGCAGTATGTTTCAGGTTTACAGTGCTAGCTACAGAGGCCATCAAATATTCAAGAAGATATGTTCAATACCATATACTGATCATGGAACAGGGATACGGCAGCGCTACTCATGGAACAGGGATACGGCAGCGCTACTGTGGATGGGACAAGACTTGTTTAGAACGCCTTGTGCAGGACATGGATTTCCTGGAATGCTTCGCAGGGCAAGCGGCTATATCTAAATCGATGTGGCAAGTGCCTCATATGTGTTTAAGGTTTCGGGGAGGATCCGAAATTTAAAAAGCCTTCAACCCCATGTATCCCCCTAAATTTAAAAGGAAAGCCCTGACAAACCCTCTATGATTATCTGCTCAAACCCTTATTATAAGGCCTCCTTAAACCCAAACCCTAAACCCGGTCTTTGGATCGCCACCTTTGCATGACAACGGAATAGCAGCAGCAAGCCTCGGGCTCAGGTTCCTGTTGAAGGTGTTGGGTATTCCTCTAAAACGGTATTACAAAGGTTCCTTTAAGAGTACTGGGGATATCTTCTTGGGCTTTTGGCTTTGTAGGGTTTCCGTGTAAGTCGAAGGGAGTTTACATGTTCTGTAGTGTTGGGGTTTAGGGCTCGGGGGTAGGGCTTGACATGTAGAGCTTTAGAGCTTGAAGTTTTAAGGCTTGTAAAAAGTATTTGGGTTTATGTGGTGACTACGGAACAACTTGTTGTTTGAATGACACTAGGCCGCCAACTTGTTGGTTTGGGTTTGATTTTTTGCCATTCCCTTGACCCCGAGAAGCAAACTGCTCTAGCCCAAACCCCAACCTAGTCGAAGCAAAGCGAAAAGGAAACCAACATGGGAGGTTGGGAAAGCTAGGGATGCACATATTAGGCTGCTATATATAATGCTCTAGTCCTCAGCATAAAGGACCTTGTCTGTCGTCTGTCTATTTTGCACCCATTTGCTTTAGGCATTTGCGAACTGAGGCTGGACTGCGAGGTGGAGCCCTGGACATCATGTACCACGATCTGACGATGGATATTCTCTCGTCTGCGGGGTTTGCGCTACCTGCCTTTTACATGAATATACATGCATTAAATATATTTGCTGATATGTATACTCCATGCCCCGCCATGACTGGTGACTACACGTATGCCTACCGTGGGTAACTGTTTCTCTGCATGGTCCGATGATGTGTCATGTTCCGTGGCTCAGGCTGGCTATGTATGGTATATGCAAAAGCACGCCCGGCAGCCTGCACGTCTATGCGCTCTGCTGCAGCAGCTTCACCGCCATGCCACTCGACTGCCTTAGATCAGGAGGGGGCTCCGAGTTGAAAGGCCAGCATTCCTTTGACGGTGGTGCTGGGGTTCAGGGTGTAGGTGTGACCCGAGTTAAACTTGACATCGATCCCGGGGGTGCTTGGACAAGCTTAAGGCTTGCTTACGCTGACGAGGGTTTTCAAAGTTTTCAATGAGGCATTTAGTAGTTCGAAAACCGATAGAGATTGCCCCCATACCTTAGAAACCACGGAACACAGTTGTTCCT